AGTTATATTGGCCGCACAAAGCGCACACTTTCCCAACGCATCTCTGAACATTATACGGCATGGTTAGTAAAAGGACAATGCAAGACAGTTACTAGCTCAATTTTCGAGCAATTGATGAACTCAAGCAACTTAGCTGCACCAGAGTTGTCTTTCAAGATTATCTACAAGATGAAGCCAAATACTGTAAAGGGTATCAGGTTTCGGCATTTGTGTATAGCGGGGCGTTAGCGATGCGTCAATATAACCCCGAACTCTGTATACAGAAAAAGTTTGTCCAGTCTCTTATTCTACCATTGTCTTAACCTCATCACTAGTTGTTCCCTGTATATAATGTTATTTTTTATTTTACTTTAATAATTAATTCACTATTACCACTCTCATATGTTCCTTGTGTACACTTTCTCTCCTACCTTTACACTTATTAAATGGACACTCAACTACCACATTTCTTCTCACTACTCAATAACAATTTTAACCTTATCAAATTTCTTATGCATTCATCTTTTGTGCCGTTGAATACTGTGAAATTTACAACTTTTGTTTTTACATCTGAAGCCACTTCTGAGTATTTCTATCATGATTGACACAAGTTAGTCTGAGAGAAATGTAACACCTTGAGAATATCTGAACTTGTTGGATGATTCACGTCTAACGTCAGACAAACTCGAATGTGTATCGGGCGAAAGCCAACAGTTTGCCACAGGAGGTAGAGAAGATAGAAATTCATGTGAAGGCAGCGATGAAAGAGGCGGTAAATACACCCAACCAGTAACAATAAGAACAACAACACCAACAAGAACCAACCACCATCAGTGAGAGAAATCAAAAGTACGCCATGCCTTTCACTTAGTTGACTGTTCATCATCGTCCTTCCAGTTTCTGTCGGTGCCACAGATGAGGACTTCAAAGCCAGTCTGGATGGAATCGGTGCAGCGAAGCAGGTGTTCATTTTACTTTGAAACAAGCATTTGTCTCTAAGTTCTAATTAATATTATTATCCTTATTTTATTATCACTCTATTACTGTTCACTAATAAAATTGAATTTCTATACAGATCCCATTAGTTACTTTGCGTGTCACATTCTACAGCAGACAGTTAATCCATTCTAACATCAAGGATTAGATACCGCTTTTGGCCACCTCACAATGTGTATTTATCAATTTACTTGCTCATGTGAAGCGAAGTATATTGACCGTACGCTACGTCAAGTCCACAAACGAATTCTGGAACACTGTCTAGCTTGGTTAGCCAGAGGAGAATAAAAGGAATAGCAGCAGCTCTATCCTCGAACACTTTGTCATCGCCGGACATTGAGCACCCCCGCACGAATGCTTCACAGTGTTACACAGAGTCCCTCAATATCGCACAATGGGACTACGCATACGCCATCTGTACATAGCTGAAGCATTGACTATTCGGAATCTGAAACCGGACCTCTGCATTCAAAAGCGATTCACTCATCCTATCCTGGCCAGAGTAACGTTCTTGCTATAATTTTGCTTCTTCCTTTTATTATGCAAGTTCACTATTATTATTGTTATTACCACTGTTATTTTATAATCATTATTATTCCCATCATCCATATTTTGTTACTACTCTATTACTGTTTATTATTAGCATTGTTTATTCATACAGATTTAATATAAAAACACTTTATCGCCTTTCCACTAGTTCCTATCCATTCTACACGAGCTTATTGACTAGTCATTATCTCACATTTATTGCGTCATGCCAAGTTCTGCCTCTTTTCTAACTTACAAATGGTCACCCCTTCTTACACCTTACATTGCATAATACATTTTCCGAGGATAAAGTTTACCAGTATCTGATTGCTTGTCTTATGATTTTTTCTTAAATATAATTACGACTGTACAGCTCATGAAAATGAATCGTCGGAAAGAAAATTCATTCAGCTGTTTACGCCGTTTTCTTATACGGAAATTTCATGAAAAAAACACTTTATCTTCTTTCCAGTAGCTTTTGTCTACTCTAAACAATTATATTGATTGGTCACTTTCTCACACTTATTACGTCATCTCAACTTATGCTCATGGTTTTTCAATCTCCAATTGGTTATCCCCTTCTTGTATTATGCAGTGCATCTTCTTGAACAAATTTGCGCGTATCCGACTGGTTTTGTGAATTCTTCTTTGAATATGCATACAGCTATAGAGCTTTAGAAAATGACTCATCGAAAAGCAAATTTCCTCCGCTGTTTACATCTTTTTTCTTAGAACAGAGTGAAGTTATATTTAGAACCCGAGCTTAAATAATGTCTGGTTTTCAAATATTATGCCACTTTCAGATTGTAAAATTTGAGAAGACATATGAGACAAGTATTGATGTAGTATGCTCACTAGCATCAGTAAACAGTCTTAATACACACTAGTTTCACTTAGGAGAGATTTTCTAGTCACCTGATCACCATAATAAGTCATAATGGTGATTAAGTAGACAAATGTGTTTCCAGATTCATTGACTTAGTAGTTGTAAACACAGTTTACTCTACCATACACTGTTCAGTGAAAATTCTTGGTCATATGTTTCCTTTTAAACATTTCTTAATTAACTTCAATCGTTAGATTTTCTTCATGAATCAACATCAGTTGTAGAGACCATTGAAAAACAGCCAGGGACATTGGACACCTGTTGCATCCTATTTTGAAACTCCCCATTAGTTCATTCGCTAACTTAACCATCTCTGGCGTAGGCGTGACATCCGACTATCAACCAAGGGACGTGTTTACTGCTCATCAGTTCGCTCCGTCCTTCTCTATGGCTCTGAAACATGGCCAATACGAGTTGAAGACATGAAAAGGTTGACTGTTTTTGATCACAGGTGTCTACGATCTCTTTCTCACGTTAGGTGGTATAATAAGGTCAGTAATGTTGACGTTAGGCCTAGAGTGGTGGGCAAAGAGGGAAAATCAATTGACGAGGCTATAAAGTTACATAGATTGAGATGGCTAGGTCAAGTGCTGCGCATGCCTAACCATCGCTTCCCCCGACGGACGGGCATTACTAGCTGATATAAGTGCAGGTTGGAAAAGAGTAAGTGGTGGCCAAACAAAAACATGGCATCAATCCATGAAACCCCTGACAGTTAAACTGAGTCAAGTAGGGAGATACAGACTTCCGGGTTGGGGCCCGCCCTCGGGACTCTAAGAATCAATGGCTGGAGACAATAGGTGACATGGCTCAAAATCGTTGTCAATGGCTTACGCAGATGTATTCAGTCTCTGTAATCTTTCATATTCCTTTCTACCATTACTCATTCTGTTTCACTCTTATACTTGTCAAAACTCTATTGATTCCCTTCTCTCATTTTCTTGTCTACCTTTGTGTGCTATTTGGAACGTGGCAACTCGAACTGCTGCAGTTCGGTGCCAAGTTCTATGTTGAATCCAGACAGACACATGGATAGACAGCATTCCTGTGAAGCTAAGTACATTGGCCGTACCACTGGGAGCTTGTCTAGACGAGCGTATGAACACTTAACAGAATGGTTGTCAAAAGGAGAATGGAGAACAGTCAACAGATCAGTTATGGAGCATATTATTACTTCGGGTTGTGCAGCGTCAGTAGAAACTTCTGGAACATAGAGCACCTTCAAGCTAGAGCTTTGGATTTTCGTAGCAGTGGTCTCATTTTCACAATCACCTTTGACCTCTTTTGTCAATCTACATTGCACACATAACCCAGCATAAATAACTGTACGGCTTTGAAGTGAAAGTAGTTACGAAGAAAAGAGGGTATCTCTTAGCTGCTGACTTCTGTATTCCTTAGTTCGAGTTATCATACTGAATAATGTTGATGCATCAGTTCAGGGAGACGATTCACTAAAATTAGACGAGTCAATTCTCTTGAGATATATGTGCCAACAGGAAATCATAACTTTGTATAAATATTAAACTTATCCCCCACTTTTTCCAAGGTATTTGATACTGGCGGCAAATGAAAACAAAGCAGTAAACTAAATGAACCATTGTACAACTGAACAAGTTAATTTTGTAGTACATGATTTAAACCAAGTGAAAATGTTCACGAGCGCGTTTTTCAAGTTGATGCATGGCACGGCCGATGTACTCAGCTCCACAAGAGCAGGTAAATTGGTATATGCACGTTGAGGTGGCCCAGTGCGACAGTTTGTCTTTCTCGTTCTGGTTGAACAGTTTCTTGCAGGAAAACGTTAGTCGTAGGCTCGCGACAAAGTATGTCTTCGTCAGAGATTTGCAGAGGCGTTTACGAAGGATTTCTGCTTCAGCGTCACCTTTGAATTCTAGATTAAGCAGAAGTATCTTCTTCGGGACGGATTGAACTTGTTCAGGAGTCTTCTTTGATTTGAGGTTCTTGTCTGTGAACCTAGGCGGAAAACCGTTTTCCATCAAGGTTTTCGGAGATTACGCAGTTCTTCTTCAATCACTTCTTCGCTGCATATCTTCCGAATCCTCGAGGAAAGAGTGTATATCAGGCTCCTCTTTCTGTTTATGGGAACGAAGCTTTGAAAATTGGTGAATTGTCCAGTTCCCAAGGGCTTTTTGTATATAGGCCTTTTCAGAGAGTTGTCAGCGTTTCTTTTCAGATGGACGTCGAGGAGGTTGACCATTCCGTCGGATTCGGCTTCACTAGTAAAGTCGCTGTTTTGGTGGGCATTGTTGAATGTTTGAAGATATGCAGCGGGGAGGTGATTGATGAAGAACTGAGTAATCTCCGAAAAACCCTGATGGAAAACGGTTTTCCGCCTAGGTTCACAGACAAGAACCTCAAATCAAAGAAGACTCCTGAACAAGTTCAATCCGTCCCGAAGAAGATACTTCTGCTTAATCTAGAATTCAAAGGTGACGCTGAAGCAGAAATCCTTCGTAAATGCCTCTGAAAATCTCTGACGAAGACATACTTTGTCGCGAGCCTACGACTAACGTTTTCCTGCAAGAAACTGTTCAACCAGAACGTGAAAGACAATTGAAATGAACACTCAAGAAGAAGAAGTAGAGTAAGCAGAAGATGTTCTGTCTTTTTGTTTTCAAGCAGAAATTATGAACATACATGAATCAGAATGTTTTTATGCTAGTAACAAGTACATGACAAGGTAATGTGAGAACACATACACCAACACATGTGAGCAGGAAATCGAAATGAATTGAAATATATTCTCGGAATCAAAGGCATGTCAGTCGATTCTTAATACACACACACACATACATACATAAATGGATAGTAGTGGATTTGAAATTTGTGAAATATATTCAAAATTGTTTGTTCTTTGCAATGACATATTTAAAAAAGACAGAAAAAGAAAGAAACATCTCTGGTACTCTTCGTCGAATATTCTAGAATTCTCTATTTTGTCTTGAAAGATATCAGTAGCAATCAATATATTGTTATGGAAGCTCCAGTCTTCCCATTTTAGTTCACTATATAGATTGGTATTCGACACACTGGACACTGTAAATTCTGGGGAAGTATTAAAGATGTAAGCAGTCTAAGAACGTAAACTAACTGTGAAAAGACACAACATGTTTTATTTAATTTAATTTTAATTTGTGAAGAGACTGGAAATGTCAGGGAATTCCTAGAAGCCTAGTAGGATTGAAGGCAGTTAGCAGGAAGTCTTGCTTGACCTAGGTCTTCTGTTAGATGACACTCATCAGTCAGCAAGGCGCCTATCTGCAATCCTGAAGGAACTCATTTCTCCTTCTAAGACTGGCAGCCGTGTCACTCAGTACTGCAGTTGGAGACGTTACAACTAAGTTATTCGGATTTTTTGGCAGTGTGCATCCAGTTCAGCTTGTTGATCACTCAACCACTAGGCTGGAATTCAGTGACCAGTAAACTTCTCACTTCTGTCTGTTTTAAGAAGTCTGCCAAACTAGGAGGAAACAAATAGGTCTCCAATTTTCCTTGAATGTCGATGATTCCGTAACCGGTACTTGTTCTTGATGAGCCCTGCGTTTGAGATTACCTTTGGCAAGTTAGAGCCTTATATATAATTTATGTTGACTATGGTTTCAGTCGGTAAATAGAATTAATGTTGAAGCTATCTTCCAAGTGTCCTTCTTCTTGGCAGTAAGTTTCTTTGAGATTTCATCCTCTCCTCCATCAAACCTCCTACATTTTTTGAATGAGCTTGAGTAGGTCAATGACAGAATGGAAGTGGTTCCACACACCTGATTGATTACAGAATCTCATCATGAACTGATATCGATTAGAGAACCAGTGGAAAACCTGGGAGTATGGGACAGCTGTTTTGTTCTAATTTGGAACTCATCGTCAGTATGTAGACACTGGGGTTTTGAACACACGACCTTTCGGTTACTAGGCGAGTCGGTTAGGCATTAAGTCACTGGGACCAGACTCAATGGCCAGACCATGAATTCCACCCTCTGCCGATAAAGTGCACGATATAGTGCGACTGACACTAGTGAATGTCATCGCTGGCGAGTATTTGTTCTTACATCCGACCTGCTGTCCCTCACTGTTCATTGATTCTCACTAGAACCAAGGTGACCATCCACCTGAGTAGGATGAGTCACTAGTGAGCATCAGATCGCAGATGGTAATGGTTAGTGCCAGTCACGCTAGATCGTGAACTAGCCGAAGATGCATTTCATGAGCTGGCCATAGGATCGGATCCCAGTGTCTGAATGGTCTGCGAGATCGCCTTGAAACCGACAGATCCTGGGTCTGAAACCCGGTGGCGATGTACTGACGATTAGTCCCAAACCAGGACGGAACAGCTCTCCAGTACTTCCTGGTTCTGTAACTGATGTCAGCTTATGCCGAAATCCTGTCATCAATCAAATCCCTGCAAACCAATATTTGAAATTGATTGGTTGTTTGGCGCCTTTACCTTGAAAAAACTGAATAAACTTTTGATATGATTGTGTTCTCCAGGTTCACTGGTTTAATTTCATAGCTTTCATTGTCTCCTTCTAGACAGCAGCTTCAACATGGACTTCAGTATGAAGTGAATTTATTAGGATACTCCATAAACCATGTGATTGTAGCTTTGATTTGACACCAAGTTCTACCTAGTGTCACTGGTCTAGTCCTTTGGTGTAAACTGAATTCTATCAGCCAAGTTTACCATATGGTCCTCGCGCAACATAGCTCGCCATGACGGTGTGTGCTCTGGACTGTTGTTATTGTATGGTTGGAGACAATCATCAGTAGGAAGCTTCCGCTCTAGGTTTTGTGCTTGTTGACACTCGTCAGTCAGCAAGGCATGTCTTCAGCCTTGAGGGAAGTCAAATCCTCCTTCTGCGATTCGGATTTGTGTCACGCAATGCTGTAGTCAGAGACATTAGCAGTGAGTCTTACTGATGATCGCTAACCTGCACAAAACCTGCATCAAGCAAGGCATCCTTCCGATTGCCTCTCACTATATGATGACGTTTCAGATATCAGATTGCAACAGTCAACCGTCAGTTTCTAGGAACTGTCAATTACAACTATTAGCATCTGCCCAAATAAATAAAAATTAGCATAGATTTCAAATGCACATGAACAGAAGGTGCACTTCACGAATAATAATGATACAACCACCAATCTATAAAATCAATAAGCAAACAAATTACCTCTTCAGTCCATGTGCACAAACATCTATGATGAAACATATGAAAACACGGCAATCCCATGACACGATCACCGATATGATAATTTTCCATGCATATTAAACAATCGCTTAGTTTCTTCAAGCTTGACTCATCGGATAAAACACTGATTGGTAATAGATTTAATAGATAGACACGAAATGTATCTGTAGAAATGATAAAGAGAGTGATAATAAGAATCGGCCTAAAACAGGAATCATTCATTACAGGATTCATGGTGTGATCGGATCACTGTAAAATGTCATCACGTTTTTCTTACCTTGGTCTTGGTCGAAACGCCTACGAATCAGAACAGTCTGTTTTCACTGCCCTGGGCTGATTTCATTGTGGCTAAATATATATATATATATATAACGTGTTTCCCTTAATAAAATTGTATCCTAACTGTCACAGGCCAGTCTTTGTCTTTTAATATTTACGTGGCTCAGTGAAACGGAAGGCGCTTCGGACGAATAGGTAGGTGTATCTAGCATATCAGTGGAGTTGTCTATTATTATTATATTATTGTTCCCTTCAGTTCCTTGAGGAACATAGGGTTTCAGCCACACGTTTCCATTGCGTTCGGTTTCCCCCCACCAACGTATCCACCTGTCTCCACGTCTGCCCACATGCTTTCATCTCCTCTTCCCATGACCTCCTCCATGTCACCCCACTCTCGCACTGACGACCAACTCACAGCTCCCAACTCTGCCAGGCTCCGATCGTGGGCCTGTCTATTAATGTCACTTGATGGTTTGGTTTCTCAGAGTATGGCCAATCCACCTCCATTTCCTCCTGCTTATTTGTTGCACAATCGGTTCCTGCTGGGTTGGTTCACTCATTGTCAGAGATCCCTGTCGCTGATATTTTCTGGCCGGCTATCTGATCTTGAGTAGTATTGAGCGAAGACAGCTGTTGATGAAGTCCTGTAGTTTTTTTGGAATCGCTCTTCATGACGCGCCAAGTGTCTGATCCGTATAATAAGTAGCACTGATTTTACATTGGAGTTGAAAATCCGAATTTTATTTTTCATGCTGTCCATTGTGTCAGTATTACTATACCCACGCGTAATCCCAGTGAAGCTATATCAAATGACAACGCCATCATATCAGTTGGCTACCGGTACATAAGAGGGGTAAGGGGGAACACAACGACAGTACAGAATAATTATGTATGCTGAAGTTTGTAAATTTGATTGTTCATCTGCGTGAGCTGATAGGTGAATCATCTCCGAATATATTAGTTATTAAATGTTTCTGGATTGAGGTTGACGATATTTCATATTGCAAACCAACAATGCACCATGAAGTCCAACCGGCTGTTAATACTTTTTTGAATCAGGAACAATAAACATGGTTGATTGTTTTCTCTAGATGTTTTAGGTAAGAACTAAGGTGAAAATCTGTGTACAGCTTGACAGTTTGCAATATACTTCATCCGCGTGACTTCGGTTTATATTCCCAGGATACAGGGCCAAGTTAAACTTTAGGCACCACTAACTATCAATCAGTAAACGACCTCGAACGGTCCAATGAGGTTCATGCACGTGAGTTCAGGGTTGTATAGCGCTTGCTTCGTATCAAATGCGTGCTCTAACGAACTTACGCTTGCAGTTCGAGGGGGATAAGGTTTTGCAGTATTTGATGGATTTGGGTTTGCTTAGGAAGGAGAAGATTTGTTCATGTGGTGCTGTCGTGAGTTTAAAAAGCTTTAGCAAGTCGATTGATGGATGGATGTCCATCTGTGTGAAATTCACTTGAAACGAGTTAGTATTAGGGAAGGTAAGCTGATAATTTTAATAATTCATAGGAACACTTTTTGCTAGGTCGCATCTCTCCCTAACCCAGATTTTGTATATTAGTATCTAGTGGGTTTTAAAACAGCCTGTGAGAGGCGCAGCTGATGAAACCGAAAATAGCCTTGTGTCAACAGTTCAGTGGTCCCAGCAGTGCAGAGACATCGCATCATGGAAAATGGGGAGAATTACTTCGTTGTTAGGCGGAGAAGGAATCTTCGTACACGTGGATGAAACTGAGTTACTGAAGATAAATACAACCGTGGTCGTGAACGAGCCAACAATGTTTGAGTGATCGGTTTATATGATACCTCCCAGCAGAATGGATTCGTGGTGAGAATACCAGCCAGAAAGTTTACTACCTTAGTACCTGTTGTCACTGGACCTGTTAAACAGAGGTCTATAGTACATAATGATGAATGGAAGGGTTATAACTCGCTGTCATCTCTTGGATATATTCATCACAGAGGGAACCATTCTAATGATTTTGTGGATCCAATTACAGGGACATACAGGAATTCTATAGAAGGATTTTGGGGAAGATTCAAAAGTAGGCTTAGAGCTATCATGGATCTCAAAAGGATCTCATTTATAGTCATTTGCATGAATATATGTACAGAAGGTGTTGTGAATTTTCTGTTGACACTCCTATGCTAAACTGGGAGATGTTTCTATCACATGTTAGAGAAAGAGACCCTATGTAACAGTTGTGCGTAGTTTTAATGCTTTTTTTCATTAATCAAAAATCTCTCTTTCATGGAATTCGTCAGTTGAAGTTCGTTCGCTGATTGATAGTTAGTGGTGCTTAAAGTTTAACTTTCCCGGATAGAGCCTTTACATATTTTTAGTGTAATACAATATCTATGGCGAGAAAAAAGATCTAACACTCAGGATGTTACTAGGTGATTTTATAAGCACCTGAGGTGATTGCATTCCCTTCTGAACTATTCCAGCACTACAACTTACACTCACTAAATATAACAGTAAGGATTTATTAGAAGACAATCCAGACTTCGGGTGTTGGTGTATAGGGATTTGAAAAAATCCAGCACGGATCAATGATTCATATCAAGTAGAGAAATATTGATGGAAGCAACCGAGTGGAACTGAAGGGAAATTATATTCCAGTGGTCGAGTCTCTTGAAGTACACGACGAAAGCGCCAACTCAAATGGTATACAGATAGTGAGATAGAATTCAACATGCTCTGAAGATACTGGATCAGATCCATGCAGGGTTCAAATGCGTGAAATGCAGAAAGGTCCAAAACCTGGAGGAAGCAGTGACACTTACAACTGTTAAATCAGTAATATCAGTTCGTGGTCGAAAATGAAACTTAAATTTTCTCAGGTAGTTGGCGTTGTCAAACGTAATAATGACAATTCAACCACTTGGTTAAACGAACAATCGTGGCATGTTAGATGTCATATTTAGAACGCAAAATATGTGGCTCCATGGAATTTCCCTGCAAACAAGGAATATCGCTCTCCTACAATATGCATGAAAACGACATACTATGACATTCTCCCTCAGCAACACTGAAAGCAAACACATCTCCGCTTTAAAAACAACTGCGAAAATACCTATCGACCAGGAAAACACATGAACATCACGTCAAATGAATCCGTGTCAAAAATAATAACAGACGTCACTGACAAAGAATAAACCAACTCAGGAGAGAATAAAAAATTCACACGAATATCTTCTCTTTCCTCTCTGAGCAGAAACATTTCATCAACACTATTCACCTGATGATACATAAACGCTTGCTACTAATCAACAAACACGTAAACGGTACCTCACTCAGCACACACCAACATGACATCAAAACAAACCAGAGTTCCTAACAGTCTCCACAAAATATCACACAGTCCCACTCAAAATCAATTCCACCACGACATTTCACGGGTGGAGTTTCCACGACCCACCGTTTGCTACAATAAGCTGACATAACGAAATATGGTAGATTTTCAGCATGAAAGTGCTAAATTAATGAAGAAAAAATCGCCTGACTTACTAAAAGCGTCAGCAGGTTGTTCGCGAATTCCAGATTGTTCAACAGATTCCACTGAGGCATCTACTGAAGTCGGTGGATTCGATATTTCCAATGCAATTTCTGGTTCTGTTCGAGTTACTTCTGATTGTGATCGTGTTAAAAGATCCACTTGTACACTGGCATCTGCAGGAGGATCCACAGTCTGAATAGCCTATAAAGATACAGAATTTTATGATAAGAAGGAGTTAATTGGTCTGTATGACCTTGTTCAAATGGTTTTCAGCACTTAATGATATTAACCAATAACATGTGCATCTGTAATTCTGAAAAGATTGATACTTCCTGTGCAGGAATCAAACTCAGGCTGTTTATATAATGATTTATAAAATGATTTAAAACCAGGTTATTCGAAGTACGGCTTCATTTTCCCATCATTTTCTGCTTTCCAAGTAGAATTTATGCTTTGGAGTTTCAGTGCTCGAAGCATTTTATACACAGGATGGGATGAAAATAATACAAGAAGTATGGAATTCAAAGACACATATAAAAAGAAGGAAGACCAGATGTTCTATATAGGATTCTCAACGAGGTAGGAATTAGGGTGGCAATTAAATGCCAACCAACCAACCATCTCTCTCAGAGATAAACTTTTTCAGCTTAAGGACCTCATCGATCCAATTATATATGTATATTATATATGTATTATTCCCTTGAATTATGAGTAGAAAATAGGTCTTCAACAACACATCTCCACTTCGTTCTATTATCTGTTGTCTTCTTTGACTTTGCCCACGGTTACCGATAATCTCTCATCTCCTCCTTCAACTCACACAGTCTCCTCCATGTCACCCTCGCACCTGCGACCCACTCGTCATTTCCTATTTGAATTTTACTCGACCGATGGCCTGGTACACGATGTGATTCGACGACATCCTCAGCGTGCGCCTGATCCATCTCCATTTTCTCTTAATTTTTTATTGAACGATAGTTTCTTGGTTAGTTTCTTGCCAGGTAGAGTTTCCTGTTGCTAATTCTTTCTGACTGGCCGACCATTCAACCTTTAGTATGGAGCCAGGGAAGGGGGCAGCTGTTGGCAAAAGTCTGAAGTGACCTGTTGGAAATGCTTTTCGTGACAAACCTGTCAAAATTCTGACCCGCATAGAAGAACTGACTTACTTCACATTTGTGTCGGAAATCTCAATCTTATTCTCTATGCTAAGCGAGTGCAGAAGATTTCCAAACTCGTATCAGGTTGATGGAGGATATCGTGCCTTTCTGATTCTAACTTCTTTTGACATCTTCATCCATCTCGTCTGGCTGTGTTGGAAACCATGCTTCCCAGCTACATGAGTTAAGGAAGTGAAGTAACCTCTGTCAAATCACTATTGTTGCTGGTTAATTGTGCTGGATATTTGCTGTTAGTGCGTGGGTATCTTTATCACATCCATCATCTATATGTTCACCTAGATTCCTGTCATCGCTGCCTGTTCAGCCAATTTGTTGGTTTTCGCCTGTCTGGGACATTGAAAATAAATCACAGTCTGACGCATAATCCAGTTCAACACAATTAGGAATAACATCGGTGATAATAGGCAGCGAGCCTATCTATCTATCTATCCATCTGTATATCTATCTATCTATCTATCTAGATATGATATGGTAGAGAAGATTTGTAGCTCAGGTGGATGATTTTTATGTCGTTGTATTGTCTCAGCTGGATAGGTAATTTTCGAAGCTTTCATCGCCCCACCAGGCGACATCTTTAAGTGAGTTTCTAGATTTCTCCACGAGTTTATTAACCATCTTTCCCGGTGAACTTGCAAGTGATTGGTTGTTTTTGTGCGTTTCCACACCTTCTAGGTTACTTGTGTTTGAACTGATTGTTTCTTTGACTTGACCCTTTCTTATCGGTCGATAAATTTTGTCTATTTCCATGTATCTATAGTTTATTGATTCACTGGGATTCCAAGCTTCTAAAAATTGTCTAGCATTCTTGCTGTTTCCTCTGTCTCGTATTTGAACGTTGGTTTGGTTTCCCCAGTCGAATTGATGTCCATGGTTGTCTGTATTTAGGGATATGAGGGAGTGGATATCATGTATTTTGACGGCTTGCTTATGTTCGTGGATACGAAGACGAAGGGGACGTCCACTTTGGCCAATGGATTGTTTTACGCAGCTGTTAGAATTTATTTTGTAGATGATGTTGGTTTAATCTTCTTTCGCTGTTGAGTCTTTTGTTTGACATGGAGCTGAGTGAAGTGATTTTGTTGGTTTGTGTACGACGTCAATTCCTAAAAGTTTGAAGAGTCTTGAAGTGATTTCCTTTTGTTTGTTTTTGGATTGTTGCTGTTGTAATTCAGGATTTGGTCTGTGTAAATTGATTTTCTATGAACTTGAATTTCTAATTACCCTGTGGTTGTTCGCTTGACTAAGACGTCCAGAAATGGGGATCCGAGAACAAAATCCCAATTTTGGACGCTTCAGTCAAGCGAACAACCACAGGGGAATTAGAAACTCGAGTTTATAGAAAATCAACTCACACAGACCGAATACTGAATTACAACAGAAACAATCCAATAACACACTGAAGGAATTGCGTACAAACACTTTTCAAGAGGGCCAGGACTCATTGCAGCACTCCCACCTTAAGGAAAATTGAAGAAAGATATCTCATGGACATCTTCCAAAAGAATGGATATCCACGGAATTTCATCAAAAGACATATACCCCCAAGCCAACCTGTCAAACCAAAAGCCCCCAAGGAAAGCACAAAGAAAATCATCCTACCATATATAAAGGATATCTCAGAAATCACTACAAGACTCTTCAAACCTTCGGGAATTGATGTTGCACACAAACCAACAAAATCACTTCACTCATTTCTATGTCAACCAACAACAACAGAAGTAGTGTGAAGGCTTGCAAGTTAAACTGATAGAAATAGTGACTAATAAATTATCTAGTCATTCCTATGCAGAGATCATTGATTCCGTTGCGCAATCAGCCGAAGTAGTGCAGAGCAATTTATCAGTCGATGCATTACCTGCGTAGTTTACTTTCAATGAATCCATGAAAATCGATGCTGAAAGTCCGATTGATAATCGAGATTCCAGTAATGCATCAAAATCTAGTGAAGATACTATTTGTGCAAAATCAAGAGATATGTGATCAGTACAAGTGCTAAGATTTTCACTCCAGTCTCCTCTATCTCAAAGTAGAAGGAACAGTTTTCTCTCCAGTTCCTAGATTGTGACTTGCTGCTGAAACGGCTTCTGGAGATAAATTTGAACTTAGTTGGTAATATCTCTTGTGTTGTTCAATCCATTTCAAAGGATTTTACAGATTTTTACTATCTCATACCAATCGTCATGATTTGAATGTATATTGAACATTTGGCTGGATTGACAAAATATTGCTTTTGGGAAATCCTCTTTCGATTCGTTTGGGGATTTCATAAAGACCTGGGTCCGAACCCCGGCAGGAGCGTACTACTGAAGATTCCCAAACCTGGCTGGCAAAACAGCCGTCCAGTACTGAAGTGCAGGTTATCCAGTGGATCTTTAAATGATGTCAGCTCATGATGACTAACCGAATTTATTTGGTCATTGAATTGTCTACATAAACACACATATTACCAGCTTTGTTAGATTTACCGCCACCTGCAGAGCTAATAGAAACCGCTCTAACGCTGAAGTAGGGTTATTTCCACTCTGTTATGACCGCTGTAATTTCAATCAGTCTGCAGCTGATGACAGACAGCCTGTGAAATGAAATGACGTCATTTTATACTGCAAATCTGATTTTATTTTTCTCTTGCATTTATCGACAAACGACGTTACGCTTTGTGATGCTTTGACAGTTTGATAGCAAGTTGAAGGCCTCTAGATACCGAATACTGCAAACAGCAGAGGCCATTGCAGTTCGCTCAAGTCAACCGGAGCTCAGCGTGCAAAAGAAACAGGTCGATCATGCCAGCCACTACCGTTACTCTGACCCGCTGTCGGACCTTTGAATTCATAAATTTTCAACTATTTTCCCGCATGAAACAATTTTCTACTGATTGATTGGGATGAGTAGTAGCATACCACTGATAGATCACCTCGATCTGGCTGGCTGGCTGGCTGGCTAGCTAGCAAGCATTCACTACTGGTTGATATAAGTGGTATGCCACTACCCCTCCCAATTAGTCAGCAGTATATAGTGTTATGTAAAAACAGTTCAACTCATTCGAAGAACATTTTAAAAAATAGAAAAAAAGGCATGAGAAGGAACAAAGAATATTTTTGTTGTGTTTTTGACTCACTCTGGAAATTGCACTTATTTGAGAAGCTTGAAATGACTGATCAAGTTTAGTGGTAGCAGGAGGAATTTCCGTCAGTGTAGCTCGGTGTATAGGCTGTAGGTGAAGAGCAAAACAAAATATTTTTGTCGTTTATGTGACTCACTCTGATTTGAGGATCTGTTTGAGTATTTGAATTGTCAGTATTTCGAGCTGACTGATAACGTATATTTGTGTCATTTGGCACTTCGATTGTAACCTGTAAATAAAGGGCAAAACAATTAATAATAATATTATTATTATTGCTATTATTACCGTAACTATTCATTCTAAAGAGATCAAACCACAAACATGTGAACTGAAATAAACTTTATTTCAGTATCTCACCACACACACACACACATCTCACGCATTTGGAACCCTTGACGCCATAGAAGGAGAATTCGACCTCCCGAAATAAACCTCCATCCTAACAGGAATTTAAAGGACTGAACGAAATGATGTATTCCTTTTCAATTAGTTCCTCATCATCATTGGCCTTACACTAATGTATGTATATATATAAGAAAACCGTCTCCATGCATTTGGAATTCAAAGGTGATCAAGCTTCATCAGATATGCTCAAAAGCCGTCTCTCTACAGCAGTTGGTAAGGCGTTGTTTGCAACAAAATTACAAATGACGTTCACCAGCCGCAAGTCCTTCTCCATCTCTGTAAGTGATAGGCTCAGCCATCTCACCGCATCCATGTACATCTATCAGTTGACCTGCTCTTGTGGAGCAGAGTACATTGTCCGTAGCCAGAGAACGCTTTCCACACAGATTCGAAAACGAATTCCAGCATGGTTTTACAAGGAAGGAGGGAAGAATGCGTGAAGCTGTGTTCTAGAACAGCTGATCGACTCCTATCACTTTACTAACCCTGAGCATGATTTTAAGTTGTGGTGAAAGATGGTTGCTAGCCAAATTGTTAGACAGTAATTGAGGTCAATGTTAGTCATGCGAAAACATGGTCAAGATGGACAGGCGGATACAGTTAACATAGAGATTAACTGACACAGCCACAAGAGATGCAAGATTAGCTTTGTGTGAGAAACAACCAATCAACAGACTGTATTTTCTACAAACATTAACCTACAATAATGTACATCAAAATCTATAAATATATGTTGATTTTCCGTAATGAACGTTCTGTTGCCTGGCCCTTGTCTTCTGTTGTTACAAAGTCTGTCTAGTCAATCCATGCTAACTTGCCGCGTTTTCTTCCTTATGCACTTCTAAATGCAGCGGAGCCTTTGGCCATTCATAAAATTAAGCCAGCCAGCTCACCTTGGCCGTAGAGGGATAGACATCTATTTCTTTATTTGTTTAGTTAATTAGTTAGTTAGTTAGTTAGTCACAGGTTAGTTAGTTAGTTAGTTTGTCACAGGTTAGTTAGTTAGTTAGTTAGTTAATCTATGCACATTTCCTTCATTACTATGATTATTAATATTATTATTATAATTCTCACTTTGAATTATTTCCACCTGTCATTCTAAATTCTTTACAATATTGAATTCTATCTGATAGAAGAATTTCACACCATGTTATGTAACTTTACATATTTGCCCGCCAACGCTATTATTATACACCCCTTTGCAACATCTATGCATCTTATGAATTATTCTATATATGACATTACTTATTTCGCCACTTGACATTTAACTATTATTAATGGAATGAAGAGAACACGAAGTTCAGCAAAGACAACTGTCTTTCCGGCGATTTCATTTTCAAAAGCAGCTATACAATCGCATTTAAATACATAATTTTACACAGATATAATTTTTATTTGATTCCGCACAATTACGAAGACGAATAAAAGGTGACAACTAGATATTTTCAACTAGATATGGTTTACGAGAGGCTTAGAGACAAAATCACACAAGATTAGGACGAATTATAAGTCTGTAAAAAATGAGCATGGAAACAAATTGAAATAATTATTTTCAACTTGAAATGGAGGTTAGGAGGTGTGAATATAGATTACAAGAGTCTTAGAAAGAAACAAGAATTGCACAGGATGAGGATATAATTGCAAAATAATTGTTTTCAAAGAAGTGTAAATGTGAGCAGTAAAGGAAGCATGGAAACAAGCTTAAAATAAGTGTGTTCTTATGACTGAAAAAGTGGGATGAATTGAATGAAGACAGAGAGAATAAGATCCACACACACGCACAGCGAACGAAAAAAAGTGATACAAAAAGTCGAAATGAACAAAAAGAGATAAACATGTGTCAAGTACATCTGAAGGAAGTCTTGTCTCCAGGTTTTCTAAGCCTATATCAAAATAATTTTATGCCTCAAGCAAATAAAATCCTCATAAACAACAATTATCAGACACCTTGTGGATACAGAGTGTGGTGGGATAAGTGTTTGGAAAATTTCTCACGAGAGATCTAGTCACGATATTGCTACTTATTCAGGTGTTCCTGATAACTTGGTGGTTTATGATCCCTGCTTGTTCTCCCAGACTGAATATCATTGTTCTGACATTTGCATGTCATCTAACATCTCTGACGGAATCCTCATTGTTTCTCATTGCTCCTGTTTATTCTGTAATTTCACTGCTTCTCTTTGTGGATGTCTCATGCATGATGAGATTGATGACGATGTGTTGTTCTATGACTGTGATTCAATTTGAGTGAGTGAAGGTCATCATTCTGACGTTGAAGTGTCTGTGGGAATTATTTTGTGTGTGTGTGTGATTCTTGCTGACAGAGTTTCGATCTCACCCGTTGTCTGGAATATTCTACTTGATTATCTGGTAACTCCATTATGGTTGATAAGATTTTATTTTGATAAGTCACACAGTGTCTGTTGTACAGCAATATTAACTGACAACCATGCTTCGAGCACAAACTATTGCCACTGATAATCATATCAAGACACTACTCACAGCATATCTCTAGCTTCTTGACACACATATAAACTCACTCACTAGTGAAGGGAATAAAATTCGCATTTGAATCGGAGGAAAATGAACAAGGAGAATTAGCCATGATGTTAGACTATAAAATGAAACGAATAGAAGAAGGTAGACTGAACACTAGCGTTTATAAAAGGCAAAGGCAACGCACTGTAGTAGATATTTTGACTTTAATTCATCTCATCCTCCGTTAACTGTTAAGGCAGGCTTAGTCAAGTGTCAAACAAACCGAGCAGTAGCACTAAGCAGCACAAAAAGATACCTGAATGATGAAATGAAACAGATAGAAGAGGCGTTGGTGTTCGATAACTATCCCACGAAATTCATTAGGAAGATCAGAAAAGTCCAAAAGCAAACATAAATAAGAGAGAATATACGGAATCTATTGTTATACCATATAAGAAGGGGAAATCTGAGACCCTATGTAGGATTCATAGTAAAGCAGGAATTACGGTGGTATTCGAACATGCAAATTCACTCAGACAGGACAAGCTCTGTAGGCTAAGGGAACCGGTGGAGCGCATTAAACAAAATAATATAATCTACAGAATACCTTGCAATTACTGTGAGTTAAGTGAACTATATAAGTCAAACTAGTAGATCGGGGGTATTCAGAACGTCGGAAGATACGAATTTAGCTAAGGGAGTAATAGTTGACCCCGAGAAGAAGATGAGTAATTTAGAAAAAACTCAGCTATAGCACTGCATGCATTGACACACAACCACACAATAGGATGAGTGGGATAAGGTTAAGATTCTAAGAAGTAATCTATGTCGCTGGAGAGAGAGAGAGATTGATTACTGAATCCTGCCTGGTTCATTGAGTCTACAATCAACACATGCAATAGGAATGACTCCATTCGAATAACAAAAATATGGAAGATATTATTACGAACAGTCAAATCAGAAGGGGATGACAAATAATCTTAAAATTCTATTTCAATTCACATACACCATAACATTCTAACAAGTTATTTATTATTATGACTGTAGAAACACTCGTCTTATTTCCCATCTGATCAGAACTCAGATATGTTCTGCTCAGCTATGCGGTAGAACGCGACGATTGTTTTCCTGTGTTCACAATATAACACGTCAGTTTCGAACGTTACACAGGACACTTTCTCGAGATCCCTGAATCATTTCCAATATTACATGTCCAGAAGACACTAGATTTACAACGATTTACTGAAGAGATTACAGTGTATTGTTTCCAAGGCGCCTTTTGCATGCATAATGAGAGTGCGGTCTGTCTGTCTGCCTGTCTCTAAATTCCTTAGTGAGTGTATTCTGATTTTGACTGCATTGATTACATAATCGTATGCTTTAAAGTTTCAGGAGCGGTTGGATCGATTTCCCGGGTAAATTCGCCAACCCTACACCCAACCTTCCCTCTCTTCCCTGACTTAGGACTGACTGGCTAAATTGTAGTAAACTGGTCTAGGTTGCATAGTTATCCATATTACAGATTTCCCTTTACTGAGCTGAATTGAAACATATGAGCTGCATAGCTTTCTTGAATTGTAATGTAACCTTTGTATTGCCAGCAATGTTTATTCTTCTGTTTTCTGTCTCCTGTCTTCAACTCACCCGCGTTTTCTGTCCTGGTGAGGACTGGAACTAAAAAGGTAGTCATGCTTACATTTTGTGACAGCTAATAAAAATCGTTCTAACGTTGAAGTAGGGTTATTTCCACTCTGTTATGACCGCTGTAATTTCAATCAGTCTGCAGCTGATGACAGACAGCCTGTGAAATGAAATGACGTCATTTTATACTGCAAATCTGATTTTATTTTTCTCTTGCATTTATCGACAAACGACGTTACGCTTTGTGATGCTTTGACAATTTGATAGCAAGTTGAAGGCCTCTAGATACCGAATACTGCAAACAGAAGAGGCCATTGCAGTTCGCTCAAGTCAACCGGAGCTGTGCGTGCAAAAGAAACAGGTCGATCATGCCAGCCACTACCGTTACTCTGACCCGCTGTCGGACCTTTGAATTCATAAATTTTCAACTATTTTCCCGCATGAAACAATTTTCTACTGATTGATTGGGATGAGTAGTAGCATACCACTGATAGATCACCTCGATCTGGCTGGCTGGCTGGCTGGCTAGCTGGCAAGCATTCACTACTGGTTGATATAAGTGGTATGCAACTACCCCTCCCAATTAGTCAGTAGTTTATAGTGTTATGTAAAAACAGTTCAACTCATTCGAAGAACATTTTAAAAAATAGAAAAAAAGGCATGAGAAGGAACAAAGAATATTTTTGTTGTTTATGTGACTCACTGTGTTTTGAGGACCTGATTTATCGTTTGAACTACCCGTATTTCGAATTGATATATTACGTATACGTGTAGCAGGATCATTCTGTGGATCTACACCTCCGAGTATAACCTGCAAAATAAAGGGCAAATCAATTAATAATAATATTATTATTATTGCTAGTATTACCGTAACTATTCATTCTAAAGAGATCAAACCACAAACATGTGAACTGAAATAAACTTTATTTCAGTATCTCACCACACACACACACACATCTCACGCATTTGGAACCCTTGACGCCATAGAAGAAGAATTCGACCTCCCGAAATAAACCTCCATCCTAACAGGAATTTAAAGGACTGAACGAAATGATGTATTCCTTTTCAATTAGTTCCTCATCATCATTGGCCTTACACTAATGTATGTATATATATAAGAAAACCGTCTCCATGCATTTGGAATTCAAAGGTGATCAAGCTTCATCAGATATGCTCAAAAGCCGTCTCTCTACAGCAGTTGGTAAGGCGTTGTTTGCAACAAAATTACAAATGACGTTCACCAGCCGCAAGTCCTTCTCCATCTCTGTAAGTGATAGGCTCAGCCATCTCACCGCATCCATGTACATCTATCAGTTGACCTGCTCTTGTGGAGCAGAGTACATTGTCCGTAGCCAGAGAACGCTTTCCACACAGATTCGAAAACGAATTCCAGCATGGTTTTACAAGGAAGGAGGGAAGAATGCGTGAAGCTGTGTTCTAGAACAGCTGATCGACTCCTATCACTTTACTAACCCTGAGCATGATTTTAAGTTGTGGTGAAAGATGGTTGCTAGCCAAATTGTTAGACAGTAATTGAGGTCAATGTTAGTCATGCGAAAACATGGTCAAGATGGACAGGCGGATACAGTTAACATAGAGATTAACTGACACAGCCACAAGAGATGCAAGATTAGCTTTGTGTGAGAAACAACCAATCAACAGACTGTATTTTCTACAAACATTAACCTACAATAATGTACATCAAAATCTATAAATATATGTTGATTTTCCGTAATGAACGTTCTGTTGCCTGGCCCTTGTCTTCTGTTGTTACAAAGTCTGTCTAGTCAATCCATGCTAACTTGCCGCGTTTTCTTCCTTATGCACTTCTAAATGCAGCGGAGCCTTTGGCCATTCATAAAATTAAGCCAGCCAGCTCACCTTGGCCGTAGAGGGATAGACATCTATTTCTTTATTTGTTTAGTTAATTAGTTAGTTAGTTAGTTAGTCACAGGTTAGTTAGTTAGTTAGTTTGTCACAGGTTAGTTAGTTAGTTAGTTAGTTAATCTATGCACATTTCCTTCATTACTATGATTAATAATATTATTATTATAATTCTCACTTTGAATTATTTCCACCTGTCATTCTAAATTCTTTACAATATTGAATTCTATCTGATAGAAGAATTTCACACCATGTTATGTAACTTTACATATTTGCCCGCCAACGCTATTATTATACACCCCTTTCAACATCTATGCATCTTATGAATTATTCTATATATGACATTACTTATTTCGCCACTTGACATTTAACTATTATTAATGGAATGAAGAGAACACGAAGTTCAGCAAAGACAACTGTCTTTCCGGCGATTTCATTTTCAAAAGCAGCTATACAATCGCATTTAAATACATAATTTTACACAGATATAATTTTTATTTGATTCCGCACAATTACGAAGACGAATAAAAGGTGACAACTAGATATTTTCAACTAGATATGGTTTACGAGAGGCTTAGAGACAAAATCACACAAGATTAGGACGAATTATAAGTCTGTAAAAAATGAGCATGGAAACAAATTGAAATAATTATTTTCAACTTGAAATGGAGGTTAGGAGGTGTGAATATAGATTACAAGAGTCTTAGAAAGAAACAAGAATTGCACAGGATGAGGATATAATTGCAAAATAATTGTTTTCAAAGAAGTGTAAATGTGAGCAGTAAAGGAAGCATGGAAACAAGCTTAAAATAAGTGTGTTCTTATGACTGAAAAAGTGGGATGAATTGAATGAAGACAGAGAGAATAAGATCCACACACACGCACAGCGAACGAAAAAAAGTGATACAAAAAGTCGAAATGAACAAAAAGAGATAAACATGTGTCAAGTACATCTGAAGGAAGTCTTGTCTCCAGGTTTTCTAAGCCTATATCAAAATAATTTTATGCCTCAAGCAAATAAAATCCTCATAAACAACAATTATCAGACACCTTGTGGATACAGAGTGTGGTGGGATAAGTGTTTGGAAAATTTCTCACGAGAGATCTAGTCACGATATTGCTACTTATTCAGGTGTTCCTGATAACTTGGTGGTTTATGATCCCTGCTTGTTCTCCCAGACTGAATATCATTGTTCTGACATTTGCATGTCATCTAACATCTCTGACGGAATCCTCATTGTTTCTCATTGCTCCTGTTTATTCTGTAATTTCACTGCTTCTCTTTGTGGATGTCTCATGCATGATGAGATTGATGACGATGTGTTGTTCTATGACTGTGATTCAATTTGAGTGAGTGAAGGTCATCATTCTGACGTTGAAGTGTCTGTGGGAATTATTTTGTGTGTGTGTGTGATTCTTGCTGACAGAGTTTCGATCTCACCCGTTGTCTGGAATATTCTACTTGATTATCTGGTAACTCCATTATGGTTGATAAGATTTTATTTTGATAAGTCACACAGTGTCTGTTGTACAGCAATATTAACTGACAACCATGCTTCGAGCACAAACTATTGCCACTGATAATCATATCAAGACACTACTCACAGCATATCTCTAGCTTCTTGACACACATATAAACTCACTCACTAGTGAAGGGAATAAAATTCGCATTTGAATCGGAGGAAAATGAACAAGGAGAATTAGCCATGATGTTAGACTATAAAATGAAACGAATAGAAGAAGGTAGACTGAACACTAGCGTTTATAAAAGGCAAAGGCAACGCACTGTAGTAGATATTTTGACTTTAATTCATCTCATCCTCCGTTAACTGTTAAGGCAGGCTTAGTCAAGTGTCAAACAAACCGAGCAGTAGCACTAAGCAGCACGAAAAGATACCTGAATGATGAAATGAAACAGATAGAAGAGGCGTTGGTGTTCGATAACTATCCCACGAAATTCATTAGGAAGATCAGAAAAGTCCAAAAGCAAACATAAATAAGAGAGAATATACGGAATCTATTGTTATACCATATAAGAAGGGGAAATCTGAGACCCTACGTAGGATTCTTAATAAAGCAGGAATTAAGTTGGACTTCAAACATGCAAATTCACTCAGACAGGACAAGCTCTGTAGGCTAAGGGAACCGGTGGAGCGCATTAAACAAAATAATATAATCTACAGAATACCTTGCAATTACTGTGAGTTAAGTGAACTATTTAAGTCAAACTAGTAGGTCAGGGGTATTCAGATCGTCGGAAGATACGAATATAGCTAAGGGAAGAATAGTTGACCCCGAGAAGAAGATGAGTAATTTAGAAAAAACTCAGCTATAGGACTGCATGCATTGACACACAACCACACAATAGGATGAGTGGGAAAAGGTTAAGATTCTAAGAAGTAATCTATGTCGCTGGAGAGAGAGAGAGATTGATTACTGAATCCTGCCTGGTTCATTGAGTCTACACTCAACACATGCAATAGGAATGACTCCATTCAAATAACAAAAATATGGAAGATATTATTACGAACAGTCAAATCAGAAGGGGATGACAAATAATCTTAAAATTCTATTTCAATTCACATACACCATAACATTCTAACAAGTTATTTATTATTATGACTGTAGAAACACTCGTCTTATTTCCCATCTGATCAGAACTCAGATATGTTCTGCTCAGCTATGCGGTAGAACGCGACGATTGTTTTCCTGTGTTCACAATATAACACGTCAGTTTCGAACGTTACACAGGACACTTTCTCGAGATCCCTGAATCATTTCCAATATTACATGTCCAGAAGACACTAGATTTACAACGATTTACTGAAGAGATTACAGTGTATTGTTTCCAAGGTGTCTTATGCATGCATAATGAGAGTGCGGTCTGTCTGTCTGCCTGTCTCTAAATTCCTTAGTGAGTGTATTCTGATTTTGACTGCATTGATTACATAATCGTATGCTTTAAAGTTTCAGGAGCGGTTGGATCGATTTCCCGGGTAAATTCGCCAACCCTACACCCAACCTTCTCTCCCTTCCCTGACTTAGGACTGACTGGCTAAATTGTAGTAAACTGATCTAGGTTGCATAGTTATCCATATTACAGATTTCCCTTTACTGAGCTGAATTGAAACATATGAGCTGCATAGCTTTCTTGAATTTTAATGTAACCTTTGTATTGCCAGCAATGTTTATTCTTCTGTTTTCTGTCTCCTGTCTTCAACTCACCCGCGTTTTCTGTCCTGGTGAGGACTGGAACTAAAAAGGTAGTCATGCTTACATTTTGTGACAGCTAATAAAAATCGTTCTAACGTTGAAGTAGGGTTATTTCCACTCTGTTATGACCGCTGTAATTTCAATCAGTCTGCAGCTGATGACAGACAGCCTGTGAAATGAAATGACGTCATTTTATACTGCAAATCTGATTTTATTTTTCTCTTGCATTTATCGACAAACGACGTTACGCTTTGTGATGCTTTGACAATTTGATAGCAAGTTGAAGGCCTCTAGATAGCGAATACTGCAAACAGCAGAGGCCATTGCAGTTCGCTCAAGTCAACCGGAGCTCAGCGTGCAAAAGAAACAGGTCGATCGTGCCAGCCACTACCGTTACTCTGACCTGCTGTCGGACCTTTGAATTCATAAATTTTCAACTATTTTCCCGCATGAAACAATTTTCTACTGATTGATTGGGATGAGTAGTAGCATACCACTGATAGATCACCTCGATCTGGCTGGCTGGCTGGCTGGCTAGCTGGCAAGCATTCACTACTGGTTGATATAAGTGGTATGCCACTACCCCTCCCAATTAGTCAGTAGTTTATAGTGTTATGTAAAAACAGTTCAACTCATTCGAAGAACATTTTAAAAAATAGAAAAAAAGGCATGAGAAGGAACAAAGAATATTTTTGTTGTTTATGTGACTCACTCTGATTTGAGGACCTGTTTGAGTATTTGAATTGTCAGTATTTCGAGCTGACTGATAACGTATATTTGTGTCATTTGGCACTTCGATAATAACCTGTAAATAAAGGGCAAAACAATTAATAATAATATTATTATTATTGCTAGTATTACCGTAACTATTCATTCTAAAGAGATCAAACCACAAACATGTGAACTGAAATAAACTTTATTTCAGTATCTCACCACACACACACACACACATCTCACGCATTTGGAACCCTTGACGCCATAGAAGAAGAATTCGACCTCCCGAAATAAACCTCCATCCTAACAGGAATTTAAAGGACTGAACGAAATGATGTATTCCTTTTCAATTAGTTCCTCATCATCATTGGCCTTACACTAATGTATGTATATATATAAGAAAACCGTCTCCATGCATTTGGAATTCAAAGGTGATCAAGCTTCATCAGATATGCTCAAAAGCCGTCTCTCTAAAGCAGTTGGTAAGGCGTTGTTTGCAACAAAATTACAAATGACGTTCACCAGCCGCAAGTCCTTCTCCATCTCTGTAAGTGATAGGCTCAGCCATCTCACCGCATCCATATGCGTCCATCAGTTCACCTGCTCTTTTGAGGCAAGGTACTTTGACCGTAGCCAGAGAACGCTTTTCACACAGATTCGAAAACGAATTCCAGCATGGTTTTACAAGGAAGGAGGGAAGAATGCGTGAAGCTGTTTTCTAGAACACCTGATCGACTCCTGTCACTTAACTAACCGTGATCATGATTTTATTTCTGTCTACTGAATCCATGCTAACTTGCTGCGTTTTCTTCCTTATGCACTTCTAATTACGTTCGAAGCCTTTTCCACCCATGTGTTTGAGGCATCTTTACCTTTGTGAACAAAAATATTTTGTTCAATCTCTACTTCTGCCTTTTCCTAGGAGAGATATACATTTTTTATTTGTTTTTTTTATTTAGTTATTCTGTGTACCTTCCCTTATTACTACGATTATTATTATAATTATCAATATTCTCACTTAGAATTGTTTCCGCTTGTCCCACTTGTCATTCTAAATCCAAAATTATTTTGTTTACAATATTGAATTCTATCTCATCGAATTTCACACAGTGTTATGTCACATTCTATATTCACTGATTAACCAGTACTTAGTTGAAGAAATAAAGACAAACTGTTCTGTTTCACCTTTTTCATGTGTATTCAACAGTTTAACTGCTCCTGCAGAGTTAGTTACATTGGCCATGAATTCCAGGAAGTCTATCATCGAATTTCTGAGCACATTTCAATTTGATTTGGCAGAGGTCCCAATAAAGTTACAACGTAGCTCGATACACGAGTTCATCCGGTCGTTATCGGAAATGAAGTTGACTCTAACAAAGCTTTTAAAGTTATGTATCGTATTTCTGCTAACCTTTTACATAGTCTACAAGGTCGACTTTTGCATAACAGAAGAGGCAATTGGAATTCATCTGAAAATGTTGAATCTCGGTGTTGAAAATAAATTTGTACAGCTCATTTCTTTGCCAAGGCCAACTACATAATTTGTGTTAAGATTTTAGGAACGACTATTTCCCCTCCTCTTGTAACTATATTTTGACTTTATTATTATTTTTACAGTTTGTATTTAACGTAATTATTCTGAGTCATCAATGCTGTTTTACTAATTTCTTGATTATGTAACAACTTGTGCCTAACGCCCACGAATTAACTTATCTTGAATTCTGTAATTAATTTTCATCCTTCCTTCAAAACTTCGACACCTTGTGAATGACATTATTACTTAATTGATTTGATGACTTCTAGCCTCTTAATTTTCAACCCCTCTCCCATATACCTGAAACTGATTAACTAAAATGACCGTTTGATTGGTAAACATTTTGATGTAAATACAGTCTGTATATTAGTGTAGAGCCAGTCAATGATGAGGAACTAATCGGAATTGAATGTTTGTACAGCTAAAGAGGGAAATGAATGCAGTGAAAAGAGTCTCATCACTGAACTGTCTGTTTTGTGCCCTTTCTCAACTAATGCTTAGATGTAGATTATTCATTTACGAATTTTTCAAATAACAGAAGAACAATCAAAAAAATTATTAAAAATAAGTTATATCATCTTACTGATTCTGTTTCATGTGCACTTGTTGAACTCTGATTCCCCATGAACAGCTAGACAAATTTGTTGGATAGAAGAATAGAAGTAGAATGATTGAAGTGCTGAAATTTTTCTCTCAGAAAAAGACAAACTATTATATGTATATCAGACTGAATACTTTCCGTAATCTATTTATGCATGTAAGCATACACTCACACATACCAACACACATTTACACACCCTACCTCTCTATTTCTCACTCTGTCTCACTCACTCACTCACTCACTGGCTGACTGACTGACTGGCTGGTTGGCTGGCTGACTCACTTGCACACCTTAATAATAATTATACACCATCAATGCACATAGACAGAAGCACAGCACAGATTCACAGACGTACAACATGCAGTCAATCAACCAACCAATCAATCTTGAGCAGTGAATAGTACCTACTATGGTAGACCAAAACTACACAAACCAAACATTCCCTTCCGACCAATCATTTCGCTTCCAGGAACACCAACATATAATCTATCTGAAGAACTTTTCAGGAAATTAAATTACTAAACAGAATCATGCGACCATTCTATCAATTCGTCAATCCAATTTTTAGAGAGAATCAAAAACATTCAAGTGGATGACAATGAAATAATGGTGTCCTTTGATGTGTCACACCATTATATACACTTCAATTAGTCCAAAACTAGTTACAGAAACTATGCAACAATTACTCTATAGTGATGAAAACATAAAAAACACAATGTTCAGCTTGGATATAACTCAAAGAAGTATGTCTTACAACATACTTGCAATACTCAAATATACACGAAAAGATAAAAGCAACACCAATGGGATCGCCCATATCAGGATTAATAGCTGAAGCCGTTATGCAAAGATTAGAATTAATAGCTCTACCTATAATTAAGCCGAAAATATGGGTACGTCACGTTGATGATACATTAGTATTAATTAAGAGAAATGATTTAGAATATACCCATAAATTAATAAACAACATATTTGCAGACATCAAATTCACAAGAGAAGAAGAATTAGATAACAAAATCCCATTTTTAGATGTCTTAATCAGGAGAACCAACACAGGAAATTTAGAAACACAAGTATGTAGAAAATCAACGCACACAGATCAAATACTCAACTATACTGCAGCAATAATCCAATTACTCACAAAAGAAACTGTATGCAAACATTGTTTAAAAGAATTAAAACACACTGTAGCACTACTCCAGTGTTGAAGAGAATGGAAGAAAAATACCTACTAATTGTTTTCAAACAGAATGGATATCCTCCTCACAATTTCATCAAAATGTGTTTTTTAAAATTGACTCACAACACCAACAAGAAACCATCATCAAAGGCTACAAGAAAATTCATCCTACCATATATGAAAAATATCTCTGAAATAACAGCTAGAATACTGAAACCGTTTGAAATAGATATAATACACAAGCCAGCCCGTCCAATCACTTCATTCGATATTGAGCAAACCGAAAGATCCAACAGGAAGGAAGCAAGATAAATTCAATCCTATTTACAAAATAAATTGTATGAACTGTAACAGACATTACGTCGGTCAAAGTGGACGTCCCCTTCAAATCAGAATCCAAGAAGACAAGTCAGCCCTGAAAAGACCCGATATATATTCTGTCATATCAATGCCCATGGACAATTATGGACATCAGTTTGATTGGGATAATGTCAAAATCTTGGACAGAGGAAACACCGAAAGTGCCAGGGAATTCCTAGAAGCCTGATACTCAAACTAAAATGCAATTAACAAACACGTTAATATAGACCAAATATACCAGCTAATGAAAAGTAAATCATGTTTATCGCGAGCTGTTTGAAAAAGCGAGTGCTTTTTTCACGTATTTTCACGTATTTGACAAATCGCTGTTTTTGTTGTGTTATTCACTTCAAGAACATTTTTTAGAACTTTAACTTGACTTCTGTCTGTTAAGTTTTGATTTTAACCACTTATAGAGTCTATATTGGGTAAATTGTCTTGGCTGTTTCCAGTAGAAGTTCATTATGTCAAAAGTACCCCATAAATGTAATAGGGCGGAGTGTTACTTTTTGGTAGATGATGGAACACAGTGTAGTAACTGTAAAAAGTGGTATCATAAGATGTGTACTGGATTACGTCCAGCTGCATACAAACTTTATAGTGCTCCGACATCCCACTGGATATGCAGAATGTGTTGCTCCCCAAAGATGACTTTAATAAGGGAGGCTCATGAACTACTGTCTAAAGCCATGGAACTTGTAACATAAGGGCTGGCAATTTAGTCAGTTTTCAACCCAAATCCCGACCTAGTGTTTGGCATGCTGACATAGTCACTATAAAGGAACGTGCTTCAACTGCCGATTGGTCAGTCAATATTGTCTCATCCATTGAAGATGAATGGGATAGATTTAAGAATACACTTGAGAGGGTTACCACTGATTTCAATCCCTGGAGGGTTCCTAAAAGACCAATAAATTGGCCACCATGGATAAATTGACAAGCTAAAACACTCCTAAGACGGAGAAAAAGGTTCTGGAATCTCTTTGTTTCTACTGAGCGACAGCAGTTCCGGCTGAAATACTGTGAAACCAGAAACCAGTGTAAAACTTTGATTCACCAGTCAAGGATTGCTTACGAAACCCAGTTAGTTAAAAGTTCACCAGGCTGCCCGAAAAGACTCTTCTAATATATCAAGAGAAGAATACGTAAGAGTGATGCTATCCCACCTCTTATGCTTGAAGATGACCAGACAAACATGGCTGAGGATAACTTGACTAAGGCTGAGGCTTTGTCCAAGCACTTTAGTCAAGTATTCTCTGATAATATTGATACCAGCTTTGTAACTTTTCCAGAAGGTAACTTGAAAATGGCACCCTCATACATTGGAAAGGATACTGTCCTAAAGTGGCTTCTAAGGCTCAATCCTGGTAAGTCCAGTGGCCCTGATGAACTCCACCCACGTATATTAACAGCATT